CTATAAACAATTTGTAACTAAGCTACCCAAATATATTGGGTTGTAATTTTTCCAAGTGTTTGTTTCCTTCCACTTATGTTTCTCATCATCTCTATCATTTAAGGAGGTAATAATTTCACTACGAATATCTCAATCATTTAAGGAGGTAATAATTTCACTACGAATAAGTTAATGGATGGACAACGGGAGGCTTTTCATAAAAGTTGAGTACATAATTATGGCTTTTAGGTATCCCTCGAAATTAGTGGAGGTGCGCAAAAGCTAGTCCAAACACCACGATCATTAAAAAAAAAAACTTTCCAAGCAAGTTTTTCTCTTCAATAGATTGAAAACAAGACACCATTAACCAACATCAATCATACTATTGAAGCAATTGTAATAAGAATCAAAAGGGCAATTGAAAAGAAGTTAGCAAACATACGATGGAAATATCGAAATCTAATTGAATTTATTAGCAACAAAGGACTTTATATCTTCACCTCTCAATTGAATCCGATCAAATAACAATAACCAAAACTCAATCAAAAACGAGAAAACCAAAGTGAATCCACAAAGAGGGCAACTCAATTGCTATAAAAAAAAAAAAGGCTCTAAGCTACCGATGTTGTTTATATGATCCAGAAACGATTGACTACTTCATTTTGCAAGTGATGCCTGTAGTTAAATTTAGGAGTACTCGACTCTTACGTGCTGTGCCAGTTAGAGCAAATAACAGAGCTATAAGCCTGAGTTGAATGTTTCAATTCTCTTCTATATAATGGCTAGATGTTTACGAATGCATAATGTATATAAAATGTATGATCGTAGTACAAATGTTGATGTCTTCTTATCGAGAGCATTACCTGAAACACCTCGTAAACTAGCTCTGAATAATAATGATCTGTAACTACTTGCTTAGGCTTCATGAATAGGAACTAATGGCATTTTGCCTCCATAAATATCTGGTAGCTGGCTTTCATCAATGTCTTCAAGTAGAGTTTCTGTGAGTCGTTTGTTTTCCACGAATGTAATCTGAGAGAAAAGATGATTTAATACATGGTTCAAATAACAACTTAAAGAGTCTATTTAGAGCCTCACCTTCTTCTTGGTGTTGTTATCAATAAAAGGGTACACAAGCTTCCACATTGTCCAGAATATGTAAGGAACATGAACCACAATCAGTTTTCCGAGTCTTTCAGGGTAGCAATCCTGCGATTAATAATAAATTTCAAGATTATGAACGATATAATATGGTGAGACTTTACGTATGACAATTACAAAACGAAATATGAAAAGGATTTCACTTTACATATACGGGTAGTGTCAAGAGTTTTTACAGTCTTAACTTGTTTCACTCGGTAAGCACAGTGGTCGAACCAGAAATTCATACAGGCATTCAAAAAAATACTAAAACTGTCATTTAGGATTTGAATCTATGAACTAAGATTGTACAATCGTATGTATAGAAGGTAGAATTCAAATGAAAACAGGTAAGTAGACCTGTAAAATGGATAGAGCCCCAAGATATGCGCGAACATCGCTGTTGGAATAGCCAAAACCTTGTAGATCCCCAATTACCACAAACTTTTCTCTTCCTGGTGAAGTCCTGATTAATCAAGATATGTGATTTACTGAATAATTTCAAAAATTATAGGGTAAACTTGCCAATCACCCCCTCCGTCCATTTCTACTTGTCGAGTAATGACACTTGCTACCTCGTTTAGGAACAATAAACAAAATGACAATTTTACGGTCTTGGGAAATGACATGAATGACATGAGTTAGTACGGAGGGTAAGTTAAGAACTACGTGATAAACTCTCTCTTGATTTCTAAACTGAACAAGTAAAAATAGACGTATATTTTTTAGTGACAGAACAAGGAGTATTAGATAGTCAATAGTGTACCTTGAACAGAGTTTGTCTAAAGCCAAGACAACGAATCCTGTAGATCAAGACAATGACTTTAACAAAGAACAGCAGGCCAAGTATGATATCAAACATACAAACAAAACAAAACACATACGTTTGAACTCTTCAAGACCTCCTTGTTTATTCGGCATATGTCTGCCCCCAAAAACGACAGCAATGGGTCGTCCTAATTTGTCCACGCCTTGTAAGAACATTTTGTTGTGTGCTATCTCATTTGGTATCTCAGTAGGTGAAATGTACCCATTTGGCACAAAGCTTTTTTTCCATTTTAGGTATTTCAACAACATTGCTGAAGCTTTGTCTACATCCAGATCCCTCGCTCGAAGAAACCTTCTTATCGCAAAATCATCAAATTCCTTCAAAACAATTTTGAGGTGTAAACGAAAAATGAACCTTGAACCTAACTCAAACCCCAAACATATAGGATGACATCAAAACCATATGAAGTGGCAACTATCCATTCCCTTAATCAATGTGATACACTCATGGTCAAGCACGTGAAATTTCTTTTTAATAATGGGCGCGAGGAATAAGATTCCATCCAGAATCTCTGTCTGCTCTGATACTAGGCTGAAGTCTATGAGGTAGACGCTTTGATACTAGAATGAAGTGTGTGACCATCTCATCTAAAATTAGCGTTGGACACATGTCGAGCACTACATAATGTTGGGTCTCAACATAATTTGGGATTAACTCAATACACTTGAAATTAGTGGAGATCTCTGTCTATAAACAAAATTCAATTTTTTTTTCACTTTTTAACATGGACAAAATCAACAAACACAAATATTAAAATAAAAACACAATTACCTTAGAAGACGGATCTTGTTTTTCAACTACAGCTCTTACAGCAGAAATCTTGTTCATCTCTTGTTCATTGATTGTGGCATCATCGCAATGAACTGATTGGATCTCTTGTCCTTGTTGCTGCAATTTTATTAGCCCATTATTATTGTGTAGTTCCTTTTCTGCTGCCTCAATTTTTCCCTCCATTACTTTCTACTATTACTAGCAGAGCACAGAAAAATACAAAAGGAAGAACCTAACTTTGCTTTTAAAATTTAATATATGATTTTCTTCTACTTCAATTTATGGCCAATTAAGTTGGAAGAGGAAATTAAAAAGAGGGAGTTGGAGAAATTAACACAAAAATCAAATGGGACCACCATTGATGAAGTTGAGTGGAAGCATTTATATACCGGTGAGATAGATGAAATTTATTTTGCTTCGAATAATAAAATAAACTTTTAGAAAGTATTTATTTTTTGTTTTTTTATTGGATCACGTGAAATGAAATTAGGGGGCTAAATAATTTAGCTTATGAGTTAAATAGAATACCGTTCGTTTTTTCGAAGATTAATAGTAATTTTTCTGTTTAAAAATGAATGATTTTATTTTCTTTTTAGTTTTTTTTAAAAAGAATGATTTTTTTCTTTTTTGGCAATATTTAATTTTAATTTTTCACGTGATATGTTTAAGATCACAAGATTGAAGGGCATTTTGGTATATTTGACATGACTTTAATTTAGAATCACAAAGTTAATTTTTTTTTCTTTTCCGTTCTATGTCAAATTAGATCATTCTTCTTGGAAAAGAAGAAATAATAATGTACTCTATATGTTTAATGAATTATCCGAAAACCCCTTAACTTTCTTATCTATTATATTTTAAGCCTTTGTTTATAACAAATGGTTATAATAAAAAAATAGTTGAAAGAGCGTGAGAGCATTTCTTATAATGTTTCAAGATATATGTATATGGGCGGAGATTGAGCACAATTCTTTAAATTAAAGATCGAATGAAATCAGTTTCTTTTTAAAATAACAAAATCATCCCACCCAACTTGAAATTGAGGATGTGTAGATGACACGTTCATGGATAGCTTTTCAACATGAGCTCTATATCACAATTTATATTTTTGAAGTGTAATAAAAAGATTGTGAAAAAAACAAATATTTGGAGAATTTTTTATTTTTTAAAAAATATGAAAATAGGGGCTAGTTGAATTATTTTTTCTAAAAAAATGAGTATAGGGGTTAGTTTGGTGAAGTGGCAGTTCACCTAATTGCCTTACTAACTTATATTAGTTGAGATGAGAAGTTGAGAACACTTGGTTGAATCCCCTTTCTTGTGCATTTTTGATATTCAAAGAGTAACGGTTTATTGATTTGTTCAAAAGTTATTTGAGTTTAACTAAAATAATTATAACGAAAAGTACCAAACTATCTTCTTTACGAAAAAATGTGAGCAACTACTGACTTGCATGTTGGGGCAAATTAACCAAATGTGAAGCATAAGTTTCACCAATTTGGTGAAGTAAAAAGAATGAAGTTGGAGAAAACTCATTGCTTAATGCTTATGGATAATGTGGCCACTTCTTTTTTGTCATATTAGAGGCATTAAGCTTTTACCTTTCTATTACAAGACCCAAATTATCAGAAAAAAAGAAGAAGCAAAAGTTAGAAAACAAGGACAATAATGAAGTTAGTGACAGTTTCCTTACACTTTGGTCAGTAGAGGAAAACAATCAATGCAATGACAATGATATCACAAGCAAGTTCTATTAGATAAAATACATATTATCATTTTCAAATATATATATATAATTTTCATTTTCAAATATATATATATAATTTTATAAAAATTACTCGTTCAATAAATTAACAATAGTAATAACTCGCTATTCTTTAATATAATCTTTTCACGTGATAAACATTGATTGTTTTTTATAAAATTTATAATGATTAAGTTATTTTCTTTTTCAAAAAAGAAAACAACAAATTGAAATTGAAATCATACTTTTAAGAAATTTGTGATTTGGAATTGTGATCTCAAATCAAAATTTCAATATTGAGCCCCAAATTAGAAGGCCAAACGCCTACTTTTTGCTTGTTACAAAAAGTAAATCATTTTTTTCCCTTTTTTGAGAGGGTTTTGGTATCACAACTCACAAGCAAGCTCTAGTACCAGCTACGTCAATTTTGTTATAACTGATAGATAATATACATGACATAATCAGTAACAAGATATAATGCAGCATAAAATTTTTGGCAGATAAAGGTATCAAGTTATCGGTGGGAGGTAGCAGACATCAGTGAAATTAGTCGAGATGCGTAAAAACTGACTCAGACACCACTATCTAAACAAAAAGGTATCAAGTGGAGTGTGTTTCACAAAAGTCAGAATCAAGAACCTCAACCCTCCTCATAACAAAGACCATCTTACAAGCAAAAGCTTAGTTCCAAATCAAAGTAGTGTCACAATGATTCAGTGCTCAAGTTTGATCAAAAGGAGGAGGCAAAAACAAGTGCAGAAGAATTAGCTCCTAGGTCTAAGTTTTTGTTATAAGCAACTCTTCGAGTTTAGAAGAAGATTATTGAAACACCCATTGTCAAGCAGCCTACAGCCATCCAAGGACTCAGCCGCTCACCTGCAACGTTGAAGCACACCAGTTAGTTAACCACACCTTGAGAGAAGACATTATATTCAATATGCTACAACAGAGAAATGATTTCCCTGTTTTCTAATGTTATTTCCCCCATTTACACATCCTAGGATGGACACCAGAGTTCACAAGTTCGTTCACTTTTCTCTAGCTACATATAAGCAGCAGTTCCATGTGCCTCTTGACTTATCAATAAATGGATTATTCAGAGATGTTATGAAAAGTTCCTAGCATAGAGTAGGAGCAGAAAAAGAAACTATGCATACACATAAACAATACTTAACCGCGCTAGTGCAATAACATCCACTCATATAATGTGTAACAGCAGCAAGCAATTTAGCATTAAATCCACAGCTTGTTCTTCGGTTGCATTATTAATGGGATAACTTGCAAGCAATTTGGTCAAAGAGAATTACGTACACTATTATTATTTAACCAAAGTAACAGAACTCCAATTACATGAGAAGAAACAAATTAAATCAATGCATACAGTTTCTAAGTAGCAACATTACCAGCATGGTAGGAAATAAGTTTTACCTATTCTAGCAGCCTTCCAGAAGAAGCCTCGAAACCTGCCATAAGTAGTAGTACAGTATCTAATTAGGACGTAAAACATCTTCTTCAGTTCATTGTAAATTCCTTCCATCCTTTACCAACCTCCTCATTACCCATCTAACGATGGAGATTGGGGCGAGTCACAGAGAGAAAGTGGCTAAAGTGATTGTTGCTGTCTATATGCATACAATTGAATGGCAACAATGACGATAAAAGAGAGAGATGACGACGTTTAAACACGATAAATCTGGTTGACTTACCCAGTTCTTTGTTCAAGAAGTGCTGGAAAATGCATCTTTACATAAGTGCAGGTACAAATCCATAACAGCACTACTGTCAAGAAGGAATGGAAATTAAATAGCGCTGACTGAAAATACCAAAATAGAAGTATTAGCATCTATTTATATAATCAACACACATTAAATTCTCACACTCACCATATCTGAACTTTCCTGTCTTGAACAATTTTTGCTTCAACCAAGTCACCAAATCTACAAAGTAAAGAAGCATAACTTAGTTTCCTCTCGCACAACAACGACAACATACCCAGTGAAATCTCACGTGTGGGGTCTATAAAGGGTGGTGTGTACGCAGACTTTATTCCTATCGTGTGAAAGTAATCGGTAGAGAGGTTGTACGCAAACCTAACTCCAACTAATTTAAATAAAAAATTTACAAACAAAGAATCAATATTGAAAATAATGGGATATGAAAATCAAAGCAAAGGAAATAGCGGATACTAAAAGATTTAAAGAATAAGATAAATGAAAAAGTAATAATAATAATATTCATTACAAATAATAATAAAAAAATAAACAACACTCAACTACCTGCTAACCTTCGTTCATAATCCTTGACCTCCATACCCTCCTATCTATCTAAGGATATCAGATAATAAAAGATTCAAAGATAAATGGAAAAGTAATAATAATAATATTCATACAAATAAGAAAAAGCTAAACAACACTCAATTGCCTCCATCATAATCTTCGACCTCCATATCCTCCCATCTAAGATCAAGTTCATATTCTCAATCTCTCCTTTAGATCCATTAAAGGAATTTAGTTGAATCATAAATTTTTTTAATAAAAATCTTTGATTCTACCGCTATGATCAGTATTAAAATTGAAAAGAGGGATTACCTAAATGACAGGGCAATAGCAGAAATTGTAACGATGATAATGATTGTGATGCGGAAGTTTCAGATCGCAAGCATTGATGAATTTGAAAATTAATTTTTTGGTTTTGATACAAGACAAGTGGAAGGAAAATTGGCCAAAATTAAATTTAGGTATTTATTAGTAAGTAGTATTTTTATTTTTATTTTTATTAATTTCAAATAAAGAACTTTTTTTTTTATAGGGGAAATAGCCATTTTAATTCTTATATGATTGCATAATTACTGTGTTTATCTCTGTGTTATTTAATTATACACATATAACCTTTAATTATTTAAAATGTACAATTTCGATTCTTAAAGTTAACAAAAGTGAAATATTTATTATTTTGGGATACATAAAATAAAATTTAAATTGTTAAAATTTCTTACGTGATGAAGTAGATAAATATTTAATGATATTTTTTTTTAAAAAAGAGATATATTATTTTGTTTTAAAATTTTAAATACTATAATAATAGTTAAATAATAATGTTCTAAATTATGAAAGAAAAATAAATAAAATAATCTATCAATATTTCACATAGCACATTGCAACTTTATACTTCGTACAAATTATTATTTATTATTATAGTAAAATCTTTGATTCTTAAATATGTTCAAACATAAATTCATCTATAAATCAATTTATTAAAACATAGGAAATTATTTTTTTTATTTAATTTATTCGTAGAAAAAAGAATGTACCTGATGCAACGACAATAAGAATAAGGAAGATCAACAACATTTTTGAAGAAATTGCCATCTTTCAATTACAAATTAGTAATAATTAATTAATTTGATTCATGACTTCTTTTAGAAGGTTAAACAATTATGTGCATATTGAAGATGTTCTAATTAAAAAAAAATTTGGTTAAATACATAAACAGATTTCTAAACTTGTTGGGTTTTCCCCCTCAGATACCTTAAACATGATATTTTCCTATTGAATCATTGAACCATCCATATTTGTTCCTTTTAAACAAAATTACCAAAATGTCCTTTAACTTGTGGTTCTAAATTAAAGTTATATCAAATTTACCAAATACCCTTTAATCTTGTGGTCTTATATATGCATGGAAAGTTAAAGTTAAAGTGTTACCAAAAAAGGAAAGGGGTCATTCTTTTTTAAACAAACTAAAAAGGAAATAGGTTCATTCTTTTTTAAACAGAGGGAATATAAAATATCAAACTATTGATTCAAATTAAATGTTATAAGCACAGTTTGATTTAATTGTATCCCGTAGCAAATTATTGCCATATCACCAATCTCTCTGAATTTCTCCCTCGCCACTCTCGTTTCTCGCTGAGCAATCCCTCATCTCTCTCACTTTATACAAACACAAATGTATAAACTATGTTTATTTTTGTGTATATAGAGAAAATTGTATGTATACATATCTTTTCATTCGTCTTTCTCCCCTCTCCCAGGTCTCGCTCGTCACTCTCAGTCACCTCTCTCATTTTAAATAAACACAAATGTATAAATCGTGTTTATGTTTGTATAAAGTGAGAGAAAAATTGTATACACAAATACAGATACAAATACATATATTTTTGTCCTATATACTTATGATTATACAAATTCATATCTTTCTCATGCCCAATTTTCTTTTATGTTTCCTCTTTCTCATTTAATACAAACACAAATTATACAATTGTTTCTTTTGTATATGTATAACGAAATATACATATCGATAGCCATAACAAACATAAAATTTGTTATGCTGAGCAATTATACAAACTATAACTATAGCATATAAATATGATTTTTATATTTGTTAAACCTAAAACTTACTCTTTATTTTACAACTTGAGTCACTTAAAATTAGAGTTATAAATATATGTGAGATTCATTGGGTCGACCTGATCTAACCCATAATTTGATATGGCTGTACTAAGTTTTCAATTCTGACCTAAATAAGTCTACTATAATTTGTGAGGACTTCAGAACAAGAAATTGGCACAACATAACAACATATAAATTTGCAATTAAGTGCCTCTTTTTTATTTATGGGCAAAAAAGTTTTATTTTATAGTTTTTTTACATTAAACAATCATATTTCTTTTCTAGATAAGAATATATTTATTTATTACGATACTTCATAAGATGATTTTTTAATTTATAAATTGGATTGTTCTTTCACCATTATAAAGAGATATATAAGACTTGAAGACAATTGAATAAGATGATCTCTACCTTCAACTCTCCATCTATATTATTTCTAATATATTGTCAACATTTTATAACACAATTATAATATTTTAAAATATAAAAACAATGGTAAGTGATTTCTTAAAAAAAATATTCTTAATTGAGTAATCATCTGAAATATTATTATATCCTATAAAATAATGATATGATTTAAATATTAGTCTTTTAAAACCCAAATCATGTTTTTCTTTACTTAACCAACTAGTGTGATTGCATGTGGCGTATAATTTGTAAGTGATTTCATAAGTAGTAAATAGCAATCAAAGTAACATAAAAGCAATTGTACTACAATTTGTAAAATAATTCAGATATAATAAATAAAATAAAATTGAAAAGGCAGATAACAAAGAAAAAAACATTTTCAATTTTCATTATAATATTTCAAATTCTTAAATTAAAATTGATGTAATAAATAACTAATTCTTATTTATGGGACATTTATCTGCTGGTAGGACACATTCACAAACAACCTCATTGTCATCTGTTGTACATTTTGCTTCACAAACTTTTCCAAATCTCTCAGTGCAAAATGATTTGCATGTATTATCGCCACGATGTTGTCTGCATATCCCCTTGTAATAAGAGCTACATGTCCCTTGACAACTTTGTGCTACACAAACTGTTATCGACACGGTCAGAATTTTCACTAAATAAATTTTTTTAATATAGTATTAAAATTTTGTTGGTGATTTATATATTTTTGGTAGCTTTACTAAGAGAGTTAATAGTTACGTTGTAAAAATATAACTATAATACTTCGAGATTTGCACAAATCGTACATAGTTGAAGTTTAGTGTGTTAAACAATTTATTTTTTTGTTGTAGCACAAAATTCATCTAGGCAAAGTATTTTTGACATATAGTATAACTTCTTTTGTTACGTATAAAATCACTTATTTAAAATAAAAATATATATTAATAAAATTCATAAAATTTAAATCTTACATCAATTTTGCGGCTATAACATTAGTAGGGTAAAAAAGGTACCTGATGCAATGGTAAAAATGACAAGGAAGATCAACATAACTTTTGAGGAAATTGCCATCTTTCTATTACTAATTAAATATTAAAATGTCTACTATAATGTGTGAATTTTGTGTGTACAATCTTCATGTTTATATACAAACTAGGCTCGACATATTAAGTATCTCTATTAATTCTTCATTTGGACATTATTATTTTGACATATTAATAAAAGGCAAACCTTATATTTATTCCAATATAATTGTTAATGTAATTTCTTTTTTTAGACAAATAAATATTCAAAAAATGTTTGGACCTTATGTTGACTGTTTTTTTTTCTTTTAAAAATACAGATTCAAAGACTTGACTTGACAGAATATCAATAGTCAAATTTGATAATTATATATTTACTAAAGATGTCTGAACAACAAAAAATATTTATGAAAAACATTACATTTATAAACATGGACATATTCCATAAATCCAATATGTTCAATTAATGATTGACTGATAAAATATATGGTAAAAAATTTAAACAATTTCTTATTTTGATATTATCTCCGTCCCAAATTACTTGTCTACTTTTCTTTTTATAGTTATTCCTAATTACTTGTTCATTTGATAATTAAGAAAGGACAATTTTTTTTACCTATTATATCCACAATTAAATGATTACTTTAAAAAATGTAGAACTTTTCATCCACTTCATAATTAATAGGGGTAAAATGGTAAAGTCACTACATCATTAATTATTTTCTT